TTCCGAATGGACCACGCTGTACGCGGCCAGCATTTAAATGAAATTATTTAAAAAAAATAAATGTCAAAGATCGTTCTTTTAGGTCATAATAAAGATTCCGCCATCCAACTCTATTTTATGCGTTTTATCTAGAATTTAAAAAAAAAAGGTCTAAATAAATCACCCTTTATATGTATGAGGGAATGTTATCATCGCCGATACATTTTTTTGGCTTTAGTACATTCAGAAATTTCCGAAAAACAAAAGTTACCAGATGAGCTTATTGATTATTCCAAGTCTGAGTCCTCATGAACAGAACTAAAATACTGTCAAAAGCATCCGCTGTACCTTTTGCATCCGTGTTTGTGATGTCATTAAAATACATAATCTGGGGAATACCACTCGGTCTACTTTTGGAACCAATGAAAGACCAAAAGCTATTAGGATCTTCATTAGCATTATCCTCCACAGTCTGCTGATAGATATGATATTCAAGCCTAGTTTGGACTTTAATTTCTTTACGAGCACTATAAGCACGCTTTAGATCTAGATTTGCTCTATTTCTTTTAACTTGCCCATGCAGTTCATTTTTTTGTCTGATCTTCCTCACAAGATCAATAGAAAAATATCTAGGGAATTTACAGTTATTTCTAAAGTAACCAACCTGTTTCTTTGGGATTGCTTAATCAATACACGAATAAATCTTATTATTAAAAACTTGAAACGCTTCATTAATATTCTCACTTTGTTTTAATCATCCCACTTTAGAGACCCTATTAGATTATATAAAAGACCAAAATTACCTTTTGAATAGTCATAAATGTAGGATTTTTTATACCTTTATGAGTTGTAGAATTATTTTCAAACTGCATAGAGAAGTTCAAAGATGGATGATAATCATCCTTTTTTACCAAGGGACTATCACACCTACAGAGATCATAAATATTTACATTACTTATAACTAGATCAAGCTTTCTACCCATAAAATGTAACAAAGTGTTATATTCTTTAAATTTGTTATGAAACAAGGGATATTAAAATCACCTAATAGTAATGCATCGTTATTATTGCAGAGTTTCTCCTCTGCAGCCTCTATGAAATATATTACAGCCTTTTTAAGTTTTACTTTTAACAACATGCATTCAATATCACAGTTTGAATTGAAATCAATGAGTTCTAGAGATATATTTTTCTTAGCTGCCACTATGAGACCTCCACCTCTAGTTTTATGGTTGTTTCTGTCTTTCCTTACAACATCATATCTATTATCAAACAGCTCTGCATCACAAAAGCCTTCCGTCAACCAACACTCTGTAATGACGATCAGATCATATGCCTCAGATAACATACTGTTGCAGAACTCCTGGACCTTGGTCCTTAGCCCACGCACATTTTGGTAATATACCTTGAGGTCATATACCTCGAGGTCCACTTTTTTGTGTTGATTAATACACTGTAAGTTTTGGGAAGAGCTAGTTATTGAGAGTCCTTTTCTGCTGAAGACAACCTCTTCTTTTGGAAAAACTTTGATACAATGGCCCCCTTAGGCCATACATCCCGTTTTCAGGCATTCTTTAGATCTTGTTTAATTGTTACCTTGAATGATGCATATAATTCCGGACGCTTGGATGTATGTAGTTCACATTTAAGTTAAATGATTTAACATCATTAAAGTGCGGTTGTAGGAACTTTTGAAGATCATCAGTCGTTGTTTGTGGTGCTAACCTCGTAAGGTGTAATATCAGCAGGCAATGGCGGCTCTGGTTTATTCATGTCTCTAGCAATATTATGTAGTACGGTTGCAGCTGGAATACTGGACAAAACTGTATCTAGTTTTAATCTTAAGCCATATGCCAACACTGAAAACCTTCCAGGCCCGGCTCCAGACATTGTGGTACCCCGTGCAAAAATTTTTTGCCGCCCCTCATATTTACCTACTTTTTAGTGCCCATTAATAAGGTATAATTTCTAAAAAAAACTATAGTACCTATAACTATAGGTATACATAAATAATATCGTCCCCTTGATGCTACAATTAGATACACTGTTCAAAATTTCATGACCATTTTAACACCAAATTAACACCATACATGGTCTATATCGATAAAAAACAAAATGGTGTTAAATATGGTTCGTTGGTCCATTGTAATTTCAAATACTAAAATAGTGTAAATTAAACTCCTTTTCAGTATTAAATATTATGTGTTCTAGGTCAAATTAAATCATACTAGGTGTAAAGTGTACTTCTCAGTAGTTCGAAGGGATAAAATATTTTTAGATAAACACCGTTTTGGTGTTTGCTGTATATAACATTTTCAAACATAATTCATGGTGTTTATATTAACACCATTTGGTGTTGGATTTAGACACCATTTTTAGATTACCCTTTACACCACAGATATTTTAAACAGTGTAATATCGTCCCCTTAATGCTACAATTAGATATCTGGAAAAACACATTTATAAAATATTCTAAAATTGGTACCTATGTAAGTATTTAGTAGAACTGGATTCGTAAATTTTCTAGTTATCCAGTTGTAGCATTATTTATGAGAATTATTTATTTGTTAATTATTATTTTTTATTAAAAGGGTGCATGCTGTGGTATTATATTTATTTGGTATAAAATGTACATAAATACCTACCTTATAATACACACAAAAAGCCCCCCACAAAATGTCCTCGAAAATGTCTATTTTTTTTAAATTATTAAATTTCAAATAGGTAGTTGCACTTGCAATTTAGTTTAACTAAAATAATTTATAACTTTGCCTAAAAACAAAGCGAAATCCTGAAAAATCAAAAGAAACCGCATATTACCGCGCGTGCCATTGATCCTTTGTCGGCGATATTATAAAGAAAGCCGCATTTTTATTTCAAAATTGGAAATAATAGTACGATAACTTTTTGCCGCGTTTCGATTTTTGACGCCCTTCGATCTTTGCAGCTAATCGATTTGTGCACCTCTTTAATTTTTGCCGCCCTTCGATTTTTGCCGCCCCGTGCAGGGGCACGGCTGCACGTACCCTGGAGCCGGCCCTTCTTTTCCAAATTCCAAATACTCTTTCTATTAAATTTCTGGTTCTTAGTAGTGAACTAGAGTTGCTGACATCTATACCTATAACTATAAGTTATTGGATTTGCTAAAGATGTCAATAAATAATATCTTTGGAAAAAACATCTTGAATACCCATTACTAGTACTTTTGAGGTTATAAGTTATATAGTTTAGAGGTATTTAAACAAGGATTAATTTACGGTGCAAGCCAGTTATGAAAAATAAACCTGTGTTAAAAATTAAACCTCTGTTAAACCTACGGTGCAAGTGGCCATAAAGAATATCATTGATCCACCAATGCTTCGAAATGCAAATTTTGCACACCCTAAAAACGTACCGCTTGGAATGCTAGGGGATACGAGAAAATATATTCGCAAACTTGCTGTTTGTCGAATTTTGAAACGTCGGGGTTCCAGAGCACCCCAACAATTACGAACCTTTGAAATTCCTAGTCTGCTTAATTTGGACGCCACAGATTATATTGAATAAATTGATTGGTCTACGATCACCGTTACTGAACCGCCATTAACAATTGGAATGCCAAATGGAAATCGCAGAAAATACGAATACATCGGCGCAGCTGTCTAAAATGAAAATATATTAATGTCATAGTCAATGTGTTAAACGAGCAGTTAAACTACTGACGTAAGATTCAGCCTCAGTTTGTGATTTTTCAAATCGAGACGGAGTAATAAGAGCAAAATTGGAATCACGCAAAATTATGCCCCATTTTGGTTCAAACCAGGATTATAAATTAAACTTAATTTGTGTTGATGATAAAGTCATTTTTATGTTCGTTTCTTTTAATAAATAATTGTCATTCAAAACTTGTTTTGATGCTATTTTCTCCCAGTTAATTTTTTCCGTATTTATAACGGAACTTAATTACATTATATATATATATTGCTTTAGGTTTCCAGGGGCGTTATATGTATTTATGGTTTTCCGGGATTTGCTCCGTCTTATCGGTTTTTGGTTCTGAAAAGAACCGTATGTCTGACGACGCACCCTGGGGCAGCGGATGCCGAAACGCGGAAACAATTCCAAATTCAAATTTTAAAAATTTGCGAAACAAATCAATCAAAAGTCAAGTAAATTTATCTCGTTATTAAATCACATTAGCCTTAAAAGAAATAAAACACGCTGTCAGTCAAAAGACGCTTGTTAAAATACGTTACGCAAATTGTTTTGTTATTGAGCGTTTTTCTTTTTGTTTGTGTTTTTTAAGATGAAAACTAAAATAAAAACATTAAGAAAAATCGCTAACTATAAATTCGGTAAGTAGTATAACTCAAATAATTCCTACTATTTCGTTACCTGTGGATGTACATTAATTTTAAGATGCTGCCTGACTTAAGGTTAAGTTTTATTATGTAAAGGTTTGCTTTGTCAAAAAGTCATATATTTCGCCATATTACAATAAAGTTTTTATAGAGGCTTATTAATTGTCATTTATATTAAAATATCCAATTGAAATCTTTTGCGATATTTTGCGTATAACGCCAAAATATTTTTTTAAAGTTTCTCTTTAAAAAAAAAAAATTACAATTTTTCTAATGTGTGTGAATAACTATCTTTTAATTTCTTTTTAGAAAATAAAATTGCTTACATATAAATAAGCCGCAATGATTTTTGGAAAAAAATTCGAGAATGCCCTTCTGTAAAAAGCAACAGACAACATAGCTACATTAAATATGTCAAAGGAATAACCAATTGTCCAGATGAGAATATTTCGGAAATATCTCTTCCTGTATCTAACTTTTTGCATAAATTTAAAGAAAAGTGGCGAAAAGCATCCAGAAATTCTGGAGTTTTTTTTAGAAAATAATAGAAAATGGCTTGAGGATAACATTAAGTTTAAAAAATATATTAAAAACCAACAAAAGTGAGGTCGTCCCCTCTTGGATTTTTCGGCTAGTAGCGAACGAAGTAAGCGTCAAAAAACTGCGGATTTAAGACAAAAAATGCCAGGGAAAGCTATCTTTTATGCAGCACAGATGAAATTAAGAAAATCAGGTAATATTCAAGCTTCCAAATTAGTACATGAGATAACCACATCTAGTCCTAACAGAGCATCAAAGTACATAAGCGCTTTGGAAAATACCAATAAATTTAAAAAAATAATGTTAACTCCAGAAAAAGCACTCTCAGTGATAGTTGAAGGAGGCTTTACAAGACACCAATATGATATAATTATAGAAAATGATAGAGACCGATTTCCATCATACAAAATTGTACAAGAAGCGAAGAAAGGGTTTTATCCAGCAAAAATAGAAATTTCATCTATACGGGCGGAAGTATGCTTACAGGATTTATTAAACCATACCTCGGAAAGAATATTAATTTTGAAAAAGGATATTTTATTTAAATTTGATGACTATGAGCTAAGTAATTTATTTTTAATTTGTAAATATGGCTTCGATGGAAGTTCGGGGCATAGAGAATATAAGCAGAAATTCGAAAATCCGGGGGAATCAGACGCAAGTGCATTTGTTACATGGTTAGTACCTCTTAAACTAGTTAATAAAGATCCATCGAGCAGTGACCCAAAACAAATTATATGGCACAATCCCTCCTCCTCGCGTTACTGTAGGCCAATAAAACTTCAATTTATTCGAGAAACCACCGAAGTTTCGTTACAAGAAAAATTGCATATAGAAAGTCAAATTGACAATTTACAAAAAAACAAGTTTTCAAATTGAGAACAGAATCATACTAGTAAAACATATCTTGATTCCTAGTATGATCGATGGCAAAATTCGAAATGCTTTAACAGGCAATAAATGTACTCAAAAATGCTATGTCTGTTTATCAAATCAAAAAGATTTTAATAATATTGGTTTAATTCTAGAAAAGCCCTGCAATATTTTAAGTTACAAATTTGCCATTCCGGTACTGCATGCCAGAATTCGATTTTTTGAATATTTATTACACCTGGCTTATAAAAATCTTGGTCTGTCAGATCACTAGAAGACAAAGAAAAAGTTGATAAAAACAAAAAAGGATTCAAAAAGAATTAAAAAAACAACTGGGTTTAATAATAGACAAGCCAAAGCCGGGGTTCGGTACCAGCAACGATGGCAATACTGCAAGGCATTTTTTTGAGAACCCAGATATAACAGCCAAAATTACTCGGCTTGATATAAATGTTTTAAAAAGATTGTCTGTAGTTCTTGAAGTAATTACTAGTTATAACAGAATTGATGAAAATTTATTTAAATCTTACACTGTTGAAACAGCAAGAATATTGGTTGCAAAATATCCGTGGTACCATATGACCCCAACTGTCCATCTAATATTAATTCATGACCCAGAAGTTATTTGAGCGGCTTTACTTCCGGTGGGTCAATTATCGGAGGAAGCAGCAGAATGCAGAAAGGTTTTCTCGAAAAGTATCCAGAACCAAAACAAACGAAGATATCTTTAAGAGGCTGCTGCTTTCGTCTGACCCTTTTATTACGGGCATCAGAAAGACTCCCAAAGTAAATAAAAAGGAATTTTCTACAACAGCTTTATCTATGTTTTTACCACCGTTATTCAAGATCACATATCAGCTAATAAAAATTTTGTTAATATGCTTTTACTATTTGTAACTAAAAGAATTAAAAATTACCCAACTACTTTGTTTTGTTTGCTTACTTAAGTAATTATCTCCTACATGATTTGTACACCAAATATTTAAAAATTCTGTTTTTGTTTAAATATTTTAGTTGTAAGGACTAGATAATAATGACCATTAAAAATTATTAATAAATATAAATATTTTTCACTCAAGTTGACATACTTTGACATAATAAAACATTTTGATCAATGTTATTTGTAAAAAAGAAAAACTTTGTTTTAAAAAAGCATTGTAACTTTAATTATAATAAAAATAAGCATATGAAAAATGTTTCATTACGCATAGTCATCACTAAGTTAAGGGGAAAGATTTTTATTATTTATGTTTGCTATATTTATGACAAATACACTATTTGAATAGCAAAAGTTTATTTAAAATTTGTTATGGGAATTTTTTCCACGTTTCGGTATCCCCTGCCCCACTGTGCGACGTTTCGGTACAATCTCATGTACCATCTTCAGGTCTTTTCTGCTGGGCTGCTGTTAGACGTGGAGTAAGCTCCGTTGCCGCTGATCGTTTTTTATATACCATCTTAGCTTTCCGCGTCATTAACCGTGACTGCGATTGTAACTGTGTTATGTTCGGCTCCGTTGATCTCGTTAATCTGCGTGGCGTTTTGGTAGCTGTAAGAGCTGGTTTCCTTGCAAGAAACGATACACAGAGACTACCAACTGCATGGAAACCAGCTTTTATGTTAAAAACAATCAGCGGCAACGGAGCTCACTCCACGTCTAACTCGCAGCAGATAAGATGGTACCGATGGTACGTCAGACATACGATTCTTTTAAGACGTACCATCGGTACCATCTTATATATATATATATATATATATATACCTTGTAATTTAAATCTCCATGAAAACTATCCAATTCTAATTCTGGATATGTTTTTATAATACCATTATCCAAAAGTTCCTGAAATAGTTCCTCTACCTTTCGGTTACCAAATGGATCTTTTTTATCTTTTTTTGCTTTCTTCCCCTTTTTTCCTTTTTTGCCTTTTTTGCCCTTCTTACGTTTTCGTTTTTTGCCAGCCATTCTAATCATATCTTCTTCTCTAGCTTCTTGCAATAAATCCAACTCGAGCCTTAAAACCAATTAGACTGGTAAGCAATAACTTGGCGGTACCGGGTTTTAAGATAATTTTTTGGTGCCGAATATTCGCATTACGATATGATATTTGCAATTTTTTAGATATTCTATTCAATATGTACATAAAATATAACAGTAACTTGTTAATAAAAAAAAACCTATTAATTGAAGCACAATTTAAAAGGTATAAATTAATATTTTGTCAAGCCATTGTAATTATATTTAACGGATGGAGTAAGTGGATGAGAGGGTTGTTACATTTAATTTAGAACAGAACAGACAGTATTGTGACTGTCAATAAAAAATAATTTAATATTGCAATTACAATATTTTTAGTTTAAAGGTGTCATGTCCCAAGTAACATTTTTAGTTTTATTATGGTCTTCAAGAACGCTTTAAAACAAAATTTTGTTTTAAAGCGTTCTTGAAGACCATAATAAAACTAAAAATGTTACTTGGGGTTACATTTAAATTCTAAAAGAACAGAAAATATTTTGATTGTTTGTAGAAATGACTTTGGTATTGCAATTACAATATTTGTGTCCCTTATTATTAACAATGCAATTGAACCTCTTCATCTACTGCCCCTTTAATTCTGTTAAAATAATTTGCGCACCACTTAATGTGTCGCAACCAAAAAGTTATTTTTCAAAATGACATAACTTTTTGGTTTCTTGAATGATTTTATTTTGGTCTGTGATGTCTCCTAGCCCCCATCCTCTGGCAATTCATGATATATATATGAAGCTCAAGGTTCTTCAAGGGTGATATTGTAAACGGTGTAAACGTTTGTAAAAAAATAATTTTTTTCTTGTTTTTAGTTTTAAATAATGAAGTATTATGTCTTTCCTTGAAACGTTTTTAAAATTTTTCGAATTGGAATCTTAGCAACGAAAATATGATTTTTTTTTCAAAAGAGTACATTTAAGGCTTTTTTTGTTGGCAATACACTCAGTCTTTTTAGGAACAAGAAGATAAGATGGTGAAGGAATGTTCCTTAAATAGTTCTAAACAAGCGACAAGCAACAAACTTCCATTATTTTCAGAGGGCAAAGACCACTTTTTGAAAATAACATTTTGGTGAAAATTTGCAAAACTAAACCTAAACCGATATTAACGTTTGTGATATGTTTTCTTCATAATTTTGACCCCCTGATTATGATTCAGTTGTCAAATTTAATTTTGAGATAAAACCAAAATCACCAAGAATCAAGATTCGAAAACAATTCCCGGCTGTTAAATGTCTTAATATAATATTGTTTTAAATTGTAAGGGGTTCGTTTATGGGAAGAATTAATTGCTTCTTGGTTAAACTTTTTTTACTATTTATTTTAAATATGTTACAAACGCCATTTTTTACAACAATGAATTTATGCCTTTTGTCAGCACAAGAATTTAAACTACTGTCAACATTAAAATAATACTGAACATTCCGCCCACCTTGAAAGGTAATCTTTAAGAAAAACTTTCATATAAACCAAAATTTTGCAACAATAACTTAAATTTTAATCTAATCACTATTACTATTGTTTATTGGTAGTGGACAAATCTTACTGAACGCTCTCTTGATTTCACCCTTTTGTGTACGAAGCGTCGCTACTCTGGAGATGCCATCGGTACCAGGATGAAGGTGAATAATTCGTCCAAGAGACCACCTTTGTGGTATCAAATTATCTTCTTTAATGAGCACAATGTCTCCAATTTTAAGACTTCCTTGAGACTTGAACCATTTCGTACGTTGCTGCAACTCACTCACATATTCCAACGACCATCGGGACCAAAATCTTTGGTGCATCTGTTGTACTTGTTGAAAGTGTGACATTCGATTTTGAGGGATTTTCAACACATTTGGATCAGCAATTGATGTAAATTCTCTTCCAATAAGAAAATGAGCTGGGGTAAGTGGGTTTAGATCGGAGGGATCGGAAGATAAAGGTGATATGGGACGTGAATTTAGGGTACTTTCGATTTGAGTCAATAACGTATTGAATTGTTCAAAGGTCAAAACCTCGTTACCAATGACTCTCTTTAAATGAAATTTCATAGACCTAACTCCGGCCTCCCAGAGTCCCCCAAAATGAGGAGCATAAACTGGTATAAATGACCATTTAATACCAAACTTTTCAATTTCTGTTTTGATATGATTCTTGTCATTTTTAAGAAATTGAATTTTTTAATTCATGATTCGTCCCTACAAAATTCGTACCGTTATCCGACCAAATTTGAAAGGGTTTTCCGCGTCGCGCTACAAATCTACGTAAAGCTGCTAGGAATGACTCTGATGATAAATCAGTTACAAGTTCAAGATGAACAGCCTTGACAGCAAAACAAACAAATACACTCACGTACGTCTTAAATGTTTCACAACCGCGACCTCGCTTGTCTTTCAAAACGAATGGGCCTGCGTAATCAACCCCTGTTACATAAAATGGTGGCGATGGTTTTACACGCTCAGCAGGTAACGATCCCATTTTTGGTTGTATTAAAGTCGGTTTACACCGAAAACAAGGGACACATTTGTGAACTATCTTTCGAGCTAAATTTCTGCCGTTTAAAGGCCAATATGTGTTTCTTATCGACGCTAACAAATGTTGTGGCCCTGCATGCAACAACCTTATATGTTCTCGCTCGAATAACCGTGACGTAAACCCGTGATTACCTAGTAATACAGGAAATTTTTTGTCATGTGAAAAGTTAGAATTGGACAAACGACCACCAACCCTAATAATACTCTCATTATCGATAAATGGATTTAATTTTGCCAAATGACGTACCAAAGTGTCATTGGACTCGTTCTTCAAAATAAGAATTTCTTCTTCGAATAACTTCTGTTGTACAAATTTTATAAGTACCTTTGTGGCTTGATTAATCTCTTGAAATGTCAGACATCCTGATAAAAGCGATTGATTTGCCCCTTTTGCACGACAATTTACCTTGAACCTAAGCCAATAGACCAATATACGTTCGGTATGAGTTAAATCAGAAAATT